ACATCATCTCAATCTTCAGATCAGTTAAGTATGTTAATGATTCTGATAATAACGACCTAATGGAAATATTTTACCATTCCCATAATATATTACTATAATACAATAATCCGACCAGTGACCGAGATTAAGCTACCAGCAAACAGGATAATAAATTGATACAGTATATACCAACAGGAGCACGTTATACAAAATACCTGATTCGTGACCAACAATGAAGAACGGCCGTATGGGCTAGAAAATTGCCTTATTCTGTCAAGGAAGTTCTATCTATTACCTTCTTGAGACGGCGGTGTTGTTTAGGAAATTGAGAGGACGAAAGGCGAATATTCGGTACTCTGACCGGATCGGTGGATATGGAGGATCCCTCTAGGGGAGTTGGAAAACCATTATTCCAAATCAATGGTGCACATGGGTTCCAGGATCCTAAAGAAACAAATGGCATATGAACCTATTGTTAGTCACCGACTACCATGGGATTGCATCTCCCAAAGCTGCTCTACTGTCTTGTGGATTGAAATTCTAGGTCAACGATCTATATTAGCTCTACAACACGCATCTACACTGTTATATAAATGTTAGACTGAAGGGAATAAATGAAAATGTAAATCACTAAAAGCTATACCCTGGGAATTCAATATACATAACCTTAAAGTATATTTAATAAATAACTGGTTTATGAGATTTTTATTTTTCCCTAATCGTAAGCTTCTATTGCATTCAATAATTGTTGTTATATCTTTTACCGTTCGTGAATTCCTGTGACTTGACAACAAACCTGTTATTCTCATTATTCACCACAAATATCCTAGTTATGTACATGGTGAGATCTATAACTTACGTTGTGTTTTAGTCTTGTATTTTACGAATGTGACTCACGTTAAGTATTAAATCTGAATGACACAGTATAATGAAGCATTTGCTTGGTTTTTCTAATACATATTGGAAATAGCTTATAATTCCATTTGACCAAACTCAGTCAGTCAGTAACAATGTAGAACTTCGCATGAACGTACATAATTTCGAGTTTCCATATCACATTAGCACAAAGATACAATTATCGACCCAAATCCCATAGTGGTGGAGGTAGCAAGAGTGTAAGCAGTGATCGGGAAGATTAGGGTTTGGAGATGTTATTTAAAGAGTATAATTCAGTGAAACAAATTTGGAAAGAGGGAAAAAAGGGACATGAAGAATTCAGAAAGATTAGAATTTGGGAGAACACAAAGAGTAGATGAACCAACATTATCGCTAACGATTTTGAGCCATGTCATCCAAGGTCTCTAACCATCGGTTGCTTTCATCTCGCGGTCCCCAACCAGGTGGTCTACACCTACCAACATGGCTCAGTCTGCTTGTCAGTGACTTCATGGATTTGTGCCATGTTTTGGTCTGGCCGCCCCTAGCTTTCTTCCAATCTACTCCTACACCATAAAGCATCGCACGTCGAGGCAGTCGGTGGTTGGGCAGACGTAACACATGTCCCAGCCATCTCAACTGATGAAGTTTCCCTACTTCATCAATTGATTTGCCATGCTCACCTATACCTGTTTTCTAACCACTGCATTACTTACTCGGTAGTCACAGGATATACGAGCAATGCATCGAAGACACCTATGTTCGAATACTAGTAACCTACGAATATCCTCTACTCTTACCGGCCATATTTCACTGGTCATTGATCAAACTATCCATAACGTAGACAATAACTGTGCTAACGGACTAATTAAAAATGGGTGTAGAAAAATACACAACAGAAAGTTTTTCAGATAAATACAAAATCATTACAAGTAAATTATTAGAATTTAATTAAAAATAATTCCTTAATTTACAGTTTTTCATAAATTTGTTGATTTAACTTATTTACCAAATATCGTTTTACATGCACCGCTTCAAGTCGTCATGACGTACTATTCGCGTTCTATAATAAAATTAGACGAAATAGAGTTCGAACTTGAAACTAAAGTCTTTTAGTTACAAAGTCACTTCTTAAAAAAGATAAAGATAGTTTTAAATTTAAGAAATCTTTGATGATGTACTTGGTGAAAAAAAGAAAATGGTAAGGACTAGTCAGATTCGCTACTAAGAAGTGATCAATTTTAAAGGGCAGTTTTATAGGTAACCAAATGAATTGAATCAGTAGTGAAAACTTATTGGTAGCAACTTACAGATCGTCACTTTATTATCCATACTAATGCTCTGAATTTTATTTAAGTGGGACTAATTTTAAAACTTAACAACAAGATACAAACTCTTATAAATAAAATTGATCTCGGTTGCACAAGCCAGTGGCTATGTGGACCTAGTAACTCAACAGATAACGTACTGACGTTCGTGGTAAAAAGCAACGGGTACGAGTCTTAGCATGAATGTCAACACTAGGAATGTAAGTACATGTGGTGTTTGTATGTACTAATAAATCGTATGTAATTGATAACTGCTTGATTTCGAATTCCAAATACAATACGTTCGTTCTTGGTCATCTAACACTTCTTAATTAAACCGCATTATTTCTGGAATTCCTAGTTTATACAATAATTCAAATGCTCCTAATTATTACAGTACAACTAGACGATTATCCCTGGATGGAATGGAACATGCATCCTGGACCCCACTGCTAATCATTACCCGAACGTTGTTTTTAAAAAAAGATTCGTGACTTAATGGCAATACTGACGGAACGCATTTAGGATAAACATATGCCAAAGGAGACTGACCATTTGCAATAGTTAGCGTCAATAAGGGGATATACAAACCTTTGTAAATACCATTCTCAATATTCATGAAGATAAGTATTTGAAAGTTATTATAAATTATGATCGTGACAATGCTACAGAAAAATGGCAGGTTAGCAATTATTAGATTAATAAATATCAAAGAAGTTGAACTAATGCCTGTGATAACAGAGATAACTATCAAATTCACTTCAATACTATGATATTATTGTACCCTTTCCTCGTAACCGCAATTACTCCAGAAAACAAGTCTTGTAAAGAAGACTCATTTAGTAGAGACACCAAAAAAAGACAATTCACATTCGAATTCATCCCAATACATTAGGATTATATTCAGTGACTGTTAGTAAAGGAATTGTTACACAAAATTAATATTAATGAACATTATAGTGAGCGAAATTCAAATGGACAAATAATAACACTAAAATGCTGGATACAATGAAAGTATATTGAATGAGCTGTGGCCTTACAATTAATTTGTTCATAAAACGCATTTTAGGATAAAATATCCCTTACATTAACAATGATTATGAAGAATAAACATTAACAGCTCAGTTCTAGAAAACAATCAAAATACATATACTAAATAACAGAACTCAGGATCCAAGGGAAGATAAATAATAAACAGATCAATACCATTCTCAGCTGTTATCAGATAGTCTTCCTACACTAGTATGGCTTAGACCAACACTCAGAGATCTTATCGATCAATGTCAGGTTTTTGTTTGGTTGCGCATACCTTTGGTTTTACCTAATCTAGTCAGTATCGCACGTCGAGGCAGATAGTGGTTGGATGTGTGTAGCAAATATCCCAGTCACCTCACTTAAGGACAATCCACTACCTCATAAACCGATTTGATTCTCCTACTTAGCAACCTGTATTCGACTTGAACACTGCTTATTTACTCGTTCCATGTAATACGAACAACGATTTTAATAAATGTATGTCCACAAACCTGGAGCCTGAGAATGTATTACCTAAACAGGCCATGTTGTACAGAGTAATACATAGTGCCCATTCAAAGAATCATAGCATAGTTAATCATAAGAAGACTTCATGATATGAGTATAATAACAGGCGGACCCAGTAAATCATCCTCTGGAAAGTTACAAACCCAATCTCTAAATTGGAATTGAGATATTGGCATATTCCTGCTTCTATAGCACTGATAATCCTTAATATGGAAAATAGTTACCATGTACTAATATTCCCTACCTAATCATTCACTTCGTTGCATAAGCCCACTAATTAATATTTAATGTAACGAATCTTCGAAACTTGTATGAATGGAAGCTTGGCGGGCTTGACAGACTATAAAGAGAACGCTGATTCCCCGTTGTTCTGTAACTGTACGGTGCAAATTGGTTCTGACCATCAGACCAATCATACCTGATGGACTTAAGAGGTTGGGGACGCCTAGCTAGATGGTCCAACAGGTTGACTGTCAAAACAATCTTTGCACTTAAGTCTGGTTTTTTTTTACGTTGACAGCATCCTGGAAATAATGGCCTGCGTCATTTTATCATGCAGGAATGTAGCGCATCAAAAGTTTCACCAATATTAGTTGTAAAATCAGATACTCCCCACATGGTCAATTAGACAAATGAAACAGAACCAGAATAAAACTGGAGTGCACCAAAATTAAGTATCCTCACCAATAACAGTGTTTGAGTAACCAGATGTGGACAGCTAGAATCCCCCTACTTAAATCCAAGTAATGGTTATCACTATGAGTCCGAAGTATGTCATATGAAAGCATTCGAACACAAGTGCAATCTAGATTAGTAGGAAAGTTTGCAAGTAACTCATTGTTAATGATTAAGTCAAAAACTGGGTGTTTAACAAATGAGCATTAGATGACCAAACACGCCACATAATCTGTCTAGTACTTCATATTTAAAATGATTGTTCCTTTCCACAAATTACTGCCGTTATTGGTTAGAATCACTAAGAAATTTTAAAGCCTACAGCGAGTGTGGAAGTTAATTTGGACAAGGCAGAGAATAATGAGAGATATTAACTGAGTAGCCACAAGAAGATTTGGCTAAGATGATTTACGGACCTATGTATAGATTGAAATTATGGTTAGAGGATTTCCAGATAGGTTAACCTATAATAATGCACCTGCTTGAGAAAAAGAAACTATCTATAGCTAACGTTAACTTACATGTACATGAAAGCATGTGGAAACGATTACTATTATATTGGATTGAAAGGAAACTGAAAGTATTTGTATGCACCAAAAGTCGAACATTAGCCAGTAATATCGATTGCAGACTGTGTAACTTGACCCAATGAACAAAAAAATAAACTATTTTAGACGACAAACTTTATTTGAAAGTCAAATAGTACAAGATTTCTACGCTGAAATTTTACCAACGGATTCTGGTTTTAAAGGCTTTTTCTTTTTGTTTTGAATCTTAATAGGTTGGGAAAGCAGTTCCTAGAAAGAATATTAAGAATAAGCGAGTTGCATACCTTGATTTCTGGGTCTTTGACTTTGTGTTCGGATTTGTACAGAGAAGGATCGAAAGCCAATCCAGTGACTTTCATTGGACCATTAGGCATGAGTAAAACGGTAAACCTGAATTGAGCAACAAATTCGTCTAGAAAATAGGATAGAAACTAATAGAAATACCATCTTTTTCACAAACAACTGGAAGTGGTTCAATGACCCCATGTTTTATACACTCACAAATACCTAGTCGAGCTCTTTTGACATCATCAAAGGCACTAAAAAACATACAATGGTCATTAAATATTTCAAATACCGTAAACTAAATGGGTATGCCAGGAATCTGTTTGTAATTTCACTATATAATTCTAAAGTTACAGTTCGTAAACAATAATACACTAACGACGTGCGGCTTTCATTTTTAATTGGTATAAAGTTTCATTTTTCTTAAACAAAGTTGTCCGCGCTCTATGTTCCCGAGGTCTGCCATCACCCGTCGATACAATAATATCCACATTCCATACGTCATTTATGTCGAAAGTACACTTTTCAACTGTCTTTTTCTGCTCCTCCGTAGGACTGAAAACAATGTTTTTTTCTGCGTCATATACAAGCTTTTTCATTTGATGGCATTGCATGCCTAGTGAAAAGAATGATTCCATAGTGAGTCTTACCTTCCACGGCGTGACAGTTAAAATCTGTAACAGTTTTACTTACAATTTCTGAAGCCTTTAGATTCTGAAAGACGACACATCATATAATTTAAGTTTCAAACCTCCACTCCCGGTTTTAATAGCCGTATGACAGCTTCTGCTGCTGCATGTGCGGCCAGTATAACATCAGCTTTTCGGCCAGTGATTTTGTTGTCCTGCCAAGTATGCAAAGTAGTAGTAATTAATTACCTGGCTTGCACCAACAACAAAAGTGTGTCCGACTATAGCAGCATAACCATCTATATGAGCACCAACATCACTGAAAAATATTTGAGAGTAGGTATAAATTACATTTTGACTAGGTCTCCAGTTTTTATTTCTATAGGACCAAATGCTTCATTTTCAATAGGAGAGTAGTGACGTATCATATTGTTTACGCTGATTGCAGTGGGAAAAGCAATACCTTACAGATAAGGTAACTTGTCAAAATGATACCTTTTCTCATTTCCTTCTCTTTTTTAAATAACTGAGATACTTTGTCACAGATTTTTTTATCACCTAATTCACACAACTCAACGATGTTAGCGCCATCAACGCAAAGACCAATCAACTCGAGTAAAACCGCTGAGATAACCACATCAAGGGAAAATATTATCATGACTTACCATTCGTGACCTCAGCAGACATTTTATACTTATTAACGACAGTGTCATCAAGTACATCTTGTTCTACGTCACTGTCTTGATCTGACATGCTCATTATGCAGATTTAAGGTGAGTTTAAAGGCCACCAATAAGGTTATTCGTTTTACATGATTAAAACAAATTGTCGTAGTAGACTTGAAAAGTGGTCAAAATTATTTCTTCCATTGTTTCTACAGTTTTTTACAAAAATTAATACCGTTCGAAAGTCAGCAATAACAACTAGGCATCTTAGTTAATTATATTTCTTGGATTCGAAATTGTCTTGAAATATTACTTATTTCGTTCTCAACGTGAAAATTATAATTTCTTTCCTCATATACCAATTTAAAATGTGCAGCAGAATAGCCTTTTTTATGAAGGAGTAACGATTATGCAGTAAATAACATTCTACTGATCAAGGATTCTTCTTACGATGTGTGACTGAGATCTAGCCAAATCATCCGGCAGCTGAGCCACTGAATATCTGACATTTCACCAATCTTCCTTAGGGTCATGGAAAATCAACGAGCGTCACTTAATCTGACGGCATGGTTTGCACCAAGGTGGTCACACTTTCGTTCAAAACTACTCTTACTAACATATTTCTGCGATAACATCCTCTCTGTTGTACGGTTTTCAAAGCATTCATGGTGCATTGATACGATGAAGAAGTAATCCAAGTTAGGTATTTACCTCGATGCGTGACTTCGAAGTTAGCCGTTGGACACACCATTTCCATCTATCATTGCATTGTTTTTCATTTTTATCGTGGCCTACGTTCACCAATTACTGTGAACATTCAATGCTTTATATCAATGTTGATTAGTATTTAAACTTGACTAATTAATTCAAACGATAGAATTAACCAATCAACTACGGTTATAATCGGCTTTCGTAGATTTCATAACATCGTGAGCAGCATGTAAATGCTCCTGTGTAATCTTCTGTCAAACTATAAACCACTTGTGAGTATAGCCACAAGGCATCATGAACGCATATTTGTTTGTAACTGGTCCCCTTGTATGAACAAGACAAGATTAACTATTCATTTTAAATTCATCTTTAGGAATAAAAAAATCCCCAGACTTAGTAACTCTGTGAGTCTACGACATCGGGTGCTGACTGCATTAATTTTAATGGACTCACCTATCTGAAGGCGTTCAGTCACGCATTAGCTCATGAGTGGGTGCACCATGCTTCACATGTCCTATGACCAATAGCCAGCTTAGATTCATCACTTCTCGATATACCGATATTCTATCAAAAATACCTTCGAAACTCTTTACTTTCGACCTTTGACTTAACTGGGTTGGCATATTTTGACCATAAAATGTGTTGTTGGTCAAGATGTTGTCAAACTCCAAATGTTTGTGGCATCTTTACATCCTTCTGCCTAATCACTAAAGACTATCTTTCATCAGAAACTATCTGCTGGAATGTTTTACTTACTTGGCTGCTGCTTGTCTTATTCCCACTTTTCGAACTCCATGGTCAAACAGAGGATACGGATGCCAGAAATTTACAGGGAGTTTCAATTATAAACTTCTTAAAATTTTAGATCTCGTTTAGATTGTTCGTCAAGTAATGCTACAAACTACAACTCGGTGCTAAACCAAGAATTAGATGGACAATGCATCCTTTGTAATGCAAATTCGAACCACTGTCTTTCTTAAATAATCATTACTTGTAAGCGAGTAACCAAGATGCGCTTTAAATTATTTCGTACTATGATTATTATGCCCGATAGCAGTTCGTAGTTGCTTTCAAGTCGTTTAGTTATATGTTCTGTCGGTGCCGTCAAGTTTTAATCGGAAGCATGTGCATTTATGACCCGTGGGTCAACATACTGTGTAAAATTGTGTTGCATGCACACGAGCAATCTTTGTCCATGTCCTGACTAGATACTTCGTGGCATTACTGTACGTAATATGATACTTGACGCTAGATAATAATGTCCATTCTATCTGAGACTTCCAAACTTCAGTTACATTGGTGATTGATAGTTTTACTAATGTTTACTATACGCTTTGTATTTGATGTTGTCTCATACGGTAAGCCATGGCTTGACTTTTTTATTACACGTCAGTCATCTTGATTCCATTTTCGGTTTATTTGCATGCAGTACGGGTTTGAGAAAAATCTAAACGACCACTGAAGTCCTCCATGAACCCTACCATATTCTTCGTATATTTGTATTCGCATATCCAACTGTTACACCAGTAACACCCAAGTGACTGTTTAGCGCAACATTCAGTACTTACGTAAACGACGTTAATTCGTTGTGACATTATGGCACATCCGAAATACTGTGACTACTCAACTTTGACGTCTTACTTCATTTTATGATGTATTGTTCCCTCGTGACTGTTATCGGAAAAACGATTTCGGTACATCAATCGTATGTTCAAATACTCGGAGATTCAAAATCTGTCTAGTTCAGTTGGTGGTCAGACGACATAATGACCAATATAATTGAAACGAGCCCAGAGTGACACTCTTGGTTTCTCTTGTCCTTTTCAATATTTTACGGTTCACTTATCGAACAGACATGCAGCACTCACCGCTTATGAGCTTTTAAAGACTTCATCATGCCACCTGCGCTCTTGATCTGTAGTGTTCAACCTTTACTGATTTTCACAGAAGTTATCGGCTTCTCAAACTCTGACTACAAATTGATCAGTAGCTGTGCACAACGAAATCACGATTTCTTTTTACGACCATACATCTGTGCTTACAGTTAGTCTGTTAAATATAAATATAACTAGAATTGCGCACTTACGAATAGGAGCTGTCAACGACACTGTCTCATTTTTGTACTTTAAATCAATGAGAATGCAAATATCGACATCGACTGATAATACACTTATCGTACTTGCACTAGAATATCATTGCTGTTGCGGCAAAGTGAACGTTGGTTATCTGAGGAACTTATTCACTTGTCAAAGCTATCTATTTCAACGCAAACTGATAGGGCTTAAAAACGCTATGCTCCTCTCATATTTCTATGGGTAATAGCTTTGCACTGAACCGACGTTCTAGTGGTTTATTATTACTCGTTATTTCCGGTCATTTCCCACCACCTTCTTTTCATTTGCAATACTGATCGGGAAAACCCGGAGGATTCATATTAATCATTTGGCAAGATCCAGTGCGCAACTACTTCCAACCTCTTTGAACCGACTCAAACGGTCGTTGAATCTGGTGGGGGAGTTTCGAAGGGCCAGTGAAATATAGCTGAGTTTTAACCAAATCATTCGGAAGTTGGGTCATTAAATGTCAAACAGTTCGTTGATCCTCGTCAGGGTCAAGAACACCCAACGCACATCAGTCAAGAAGTCAGGCTTTGGGTTCTTGCACACGTGTTACATGTTGTCGAGGATTGTGAATGATATAATTTATTAACCGTATTTCTTCGTTACACTTCAATTTTCATGATGTTTGTTCTTGTTACATGGCTTTTATTCGTCAGTAGTTTGATGTAGTTGTCGTTCGCTACTTCAGTGAATGTTTAGTCAGCCTAATGTAGTTATTTGTAAAAATGTAAACTAAGGCAAGTGAATTTCGCCATTTGTCTATCCAAAAGTAGACCAAAGTCTGGCATTTTAAATAAAAATATACTCTAAAAGTTTTAATATTGTGGTGGTGATGAACATGGATGTTAGTAGTTGTCTATAAATTGTCGGTTGAAGCAAATAAGCGTTAAACTATTTTTGAACATCGTATAAGTTGCTAATATGCAGACATAAATAGTTCTACTCATTATAAGTTTACTCTTTTTTTACCAAATTGACATATTATTATGTAGCGTATCTCAGAAAAAAAGTTATGTGAGTTGCAATTGACGTTGTTAGCCTCGCCTATCCGGTCTATGAACATATACAGGAACTCTGTCTCATATTACTGTCAACGCCACATTAATCAACCACACATTTTTCACAAGTAAAACGATGCGTATCTGTCTTCAGCTGGGTAATTAAACTAGGTCGTACTAATTTTACTCATTTATAATGAATCTGTTATAAGATTAACAAATGAATTTTCGTAATAATACACTAGTTTCAATAATGTTAGCATTAGACTTGCCATAATTGATAAAGAAAAAAGAAAAAATGATAATAGAATAATAACAAATCAGGTCTTATGTAATTGAGAAGAATATTGATTCGACTTTAAAAAATGAAAGTGAGAAAATAAAGAAATAAAAATGAAGGAAGTGCCAGATAAATAACTAGTTTATTAAGAATGTTTGTTAACACAGAAGATGGATGAACGCCTATGTATGTATCGTCAGATGAACAAGAAAAAGAAAAAAAGAGGTTAGAAAGAAATAAGATAATAATTCATCATCACAATAAGAATAAGTATTTGTACAGTAATGGTTTAGAGTGATACTGTAAATGTCTTGTAGTGACCTACTTTTATCAAGAGAACGCAATGGGTGTAATGGAAGCAATTATTATTATAATCAATTGTACCAGGAATTGTTTAACTGTACTTGTTTGTTTAACTGTACCGAAATACATACATTCTTCCGTGGATTGTGACCTTGCACGAATTTGGTTACGCTCAGCAACCTCACTTGCAAGCTGGCACGATCTCGGTATTCTTTCGATACCACGAGATTGCCAACAAATACATCTCGACTACAGCCATCAACTGCTTTCTGATATTTGACCTACGGAGGATTTTATCGGTTAACTAGCACGTAGTCTTCTTGTAGTGGTGATCATAGCCAACCGCGACTCAACGCCACACTATAACAGTCCCAAGTAATTGCAAAGGATAATCATATATTAACTTCTATGTGTTACATATGTGATGAACCAAAAACTATATTCATTCAATAATAATAATAAATTTATTACATTCAAATGTTTTGGTGTATTCGAGCTTCATTTAGTACCATAATTCAAAATTATAGGTAATTAATAATTTCAATAAGGTTGTTGTAATTCCATTGATATAGTTAAATATAGTAAATAATAATAGATATTTTAAAGTTCAGGTATCATAACAATATGCACTTAAAAACGTTGTTAGAATACCTCTTCGTACTCTGCGATATCATCACACAATCTAAGCAATAAGGAAAATATTCTAACAATTCGAAGAACCTACA